CCTGCATTAGCAGGGTAAGTCCCCACTTAGCAAGTACAGGAGGCCTTGACTAATAAATTTCTGAAACCTTTTTCATTTCCCTTTTTAAATTGCAGACTTAACTTTCATTAAAATTACAATTAAAATTTTAAAAAACTGCAGACTTGGATCACCAACTGTTATCTGAACATCTCCAAAAAACCCACAAGCAAACCTGCTGTCAAATTGATTCTGCCCATGGCTACCCTCCCTCTGATTTCCAAGGGTGGAAATCTTTACAGAAGGAAATTGTCTAGCTTTCTCCTGCAGACTGGCTGGTGGGTTTGAACCTCTCATCTTTTCATTAGAAACCCAACATGTAATACACTTTTCCACCAGGAATCCTTTGGATGTCTCCCAGTAGAGTACATTTAGGATACATTTCAAATGCAATACAGCCCAGAGGAAACTCATTATATCTCCCCAACCTGCTTCCTCTTCAGGTTCTGTTAAGAATCTCTATTCAAGCTATTCATCTAAGTCTTCCAAGCTAGAAATGTGGGGATTACTTTCAGCATTCTATTTTCCTCTTTGCTTGCACCCACATACCTTGCAAGGTTTAAAGGTTTGGTTTTCCAGAAGACTTTGCAATGTATACAGTTATCTCTTACCCACTGACATTAATTTCACCAAAATCCTCCTTACCAGGCTTTCTGACAATAATCTGTCCCCCTTTTAGCCTTAAGGCATCTGTTTACGTTGCTTCTTTGTAAATATATATGTATGGATCACAACAAACTGTGGCTGACTCTGAGAAGAATGGGAATCTCAGAACACTTGATCATGCTTATGCGAAAACTATACTTGGACCAGGAGGCAGTCATCAGAACAGAGCAAGGAAACACTGCATGGTTCAAAATGGGAAGGGTGTATGCCAGGGATGTGTCCTATCCTTTACAATCTATTTGCAGAACAGATTATCTAGGAGGCTGGGCTGTATGAGGAGGAATGTGGAATCAGGATTGGAGGAATACTCATCAATAATCTGCATTATGCAGATGACACAACCCTCCTTGCTGAAACTGAGGAGGACTTGCTGCAGAAGGTCAAGGACTGCAGCCTTCAATATGGATTGAGGCTCCACATCAAGAAAACAAAGATTCTTACTACTGGGCCAACATCATGATAGATGGTGAAGAGATAGAGATTGTTAACAGCTTTAGTTTGCTTGGCTCCACAGTTAACCTTCTTGGCACCAGCAGCCAGGAAATGAAAAGACACATTGAGATGGAAAAGTCTGCTATTAGGGACCTCTCCAAAGTATTCAACAGCAATGATGTCACTCTGGAGACTAAGGTACATTTGATACAGGCCATGGTCTTTGCAATCACTTGCTATTCAACAGAGAGCTGGACAATGACTAGGGGTGACAGAAGAAGAACTGATGCCTTTGAGCTGTGGTGCTGGAGAAGAGTATTGACTATATCATGGACTGCTAAAAATATGAACAGGTTCATCCTAGAGAGGGTTAAACCAGGCTGCTTCTTGGAGGCAAGGATTCTGAAGCTTTGTCTGACATATTTTGGACATGTTGCAAGGAGGGACCAATCCTTGGAGAGGGACCTGATGCTTGGGAGGGAGGAGAGACAGGGCAGGAGAGGAAGACCCTCTATGAGGTGTATTGATTCAGTGACTGGGGTAATTGGGATGGGTGTGTTGGAGACAGTGAGATGGGCACAGGATAGAGCAGGGTTTAGGGCTGTTGTATATAGGGTTGCTATGAATTGCAGGCGATTGGACGGCACATAACAACAACAATCACATACTTGCACTCCTTAAAAACCTTTGGTTCCTCTTTAAAACAACACATGCTGCCTTTGGTCAATTCCAACTCACTGGCAACCCTCCACTAAGTTTCTGAGTGTAAATCTTCATGGCAGCATTATCCACTCCCAAGGAGTGCCTGGTGGATTCGTACCAATGACCTTTCTGTTAGCAGGCCTGCTAAACATTGTGGTTACAATGCCTTGAGCTTTCAAAAGCTACTGTTTTGAATGCTAACTTACCTTCACACTCCATTCTTGTCTGTTTGTTTAGTTATCCTAGATAGACTATCTTTTCTGACCTGTTAAAATGCAGGGCCTGGCTTCTTCTGTCTTTACGTTAGCTGGCTCTTCTCTTTGGGCAATCTCTGCTTATCTAAATCCTCTTTATTGTGAAGGTATTAACATAATTAATTGTATATTGCCAAGGATAGGCAGTAGGATAAGCCTGACACGGGGATAAGCACTTTACAGTCATTAGGTATGATAACCACCATTAACTTTGAGGAAACTGCAGCAGTAATGCTGTCCAAGATCGTGTTTTAAGTAATCAGCGAACCTGGGATCACAATTCAGGTGTGTCTCAACCACAAAGCGAAGGTGTCAATGCTTCTGCTTCTACAAAATACTATCTAACTCAGGTCAAGTTTTACCTCTACCCTTAAACACTTGGTTAGACCGCTCTAATCCTCCTTTTATCATCTCTAATTGCCGGTTTAACCAATGTTACACTTTTCATTTTGTTATTGTGAAAAACAAAAAACTCACTGCCTTGGGGGGAGGGCTGGGAGGGGAGAAAAGTGCAACAATGAATGAATGGAAATCCAAAGTCTGTAAATTTTCATTGAAATTAATAATAAATTTAAAAAACAACAACTCACTGCCTTGCAATCAATTCTGGCAGCCCCTCTTTGGAGTTTCACAGGGTGTTTATAGGAGTGAACGGTGTCATCCTTCGCTAGTGGAGCAGCTGATGAGTTTGAACCGCGGACCTTTCAGTGAGCAGCCCAGTACTTAACTCAGGACTGTAACGATGCGAGTGAATGCTTCCCCTTCCCTTTTAAAATTCTTTTACAATGTCTCCACCCGGGCTATCGCCTACTAGGACAGGCCATCACTGCGCTACACGTAGCCTATCCTTGACTCAGGTCTCTGGCTAGCCTACCATTTAGCTGGGTGGTGAACAATTGATGTTTGCTTTACTGAAGACAGGACCCGACAAGCTGAACGACATGTAAACGTTGCTTGCAGGAGAATGGGACGATTTCAGCAAGCGTTGCGACCTGTTTACCTGCGGTGGCCTTTTCTGTTCCTCCCTCCTGGGTCGGGGCCCCCACTGGCACTGTTGTCCTGTAGCTGGTGGGTTTGCTTTGTGACCCTGGCGACCCGCACGTGTTGCAGGGGACACTGCTCCGTAGACTTTTGTGGGCTGGAAGCTGCAGGGAACGAGCTCTCGGGGCGTCTTGAACATGCCAGGCCCCCTCCTCGGTGCGGCGTCCCCGGGCGGGTTCCAGCCCTGTGAACCGCTTTGCGCCCACCGGCGACCTCACTGTTGACGGTGCCATCAAGCCGCTCGCAGTGGCCCCGTGCAGCAGAGAAGGACGCTGTGTGTGGGTTTCCAGGCTGTAGCCAGCACGGGAACAGACGCCGACACGTTCTCGGGGAGAGGGGAGGCTCTGCGGGGCGGTTAGCACCCTAGGGGCTCCCTCCCTGGGGGCTGGTAGTCTAACCCCCCAGCGCCCGGGCTCCTTCCCGGGGCCTTGGGCTGTTCGCCGCCCGCCTCGATGGAGGCCCGGAGCCCTCGTGCGGACAGGGACGTTATCGGGTTTGAACGAGACGTTGTCTTCCCTTCAGTCACCTCCCCGGGTGCTGCGTGGGGCCCCTTTCCGAGCGGGAAGGAGTGCTTTCTTCCCGGGATGTGGCTGGGCAGCCTCTGCACCAGGCGTTCCCGAGCCCGCCGCCATCGTGCAGGCCATGGCGCCGCCCAGGCCGCAGACGAAGGCCCGCTGGCTGGGGCCGCAGGTCATGGCGGGAACGCAGAGCCCATGTCGGGAGTGTAGGGCCCATGGCGGGAACGCAGAGCCCATGGCGGGAGCGTAGGACTCAATGACCGGAGCACAGGGTTCATGGCGGGAGCGTAGGGCCCATGGCGGGAACGCAGAGCCCATGTCGGGAG